AAGTATATGCTTTCCAGATTTCCAGCTACATGCACCATACTAGATCTATGAACCTATAATTTTCAGATAAGTATCCAATTGTTGCAGTCTTGACTCTTGTACACACCTCAAGTCACAAGTTGTTCAGTATAGTTAGAGGCATGCAGAAAAGAAAAGCAACCAAGACTGAAAAGTTTGAAATGATATTTGGAAAAAGGTATCCGAGGTAAATGTTCGCGTGATTTAAGATATAAGATATTTTATGTCAAATGTATCTCACAGCTGCTTTTCCACTGAAACTCAAGCCACAGACAGCATCACTTTGAGGTCGTCATATACTAAGTCTAAGTATGATGTGCATCTTCCAGGAAGAAGTTATCTTCTTAGTTATACCAACACTGTACCTTTGTATTAAAGCTCACACCAAACGCAATATGCCAATCCTATAAAACAGACTCAATAGTAATACATGGTAAAAAAACAGTGAAACTAAGACAACATCCAAGCCACATCAATGGAAAAAGGTGACAACTAAAAGGAGTTAAGGATCAATACAGTACTGAAGAACAAAGCTCATCTATAGATAACCTAGATCTATGAGCAATATTTTCAAGAGTAAAAAAAAGTAAAACTAGCATTTTCAAATTACAATAAAAATGTATATATCAAAGAAATCATAAATTGAAAATTTGTATTTTTGCATGGATTCAATCTATAGAGACGATCAGTCAGTTCTTGTAACAAAAATGGTGTCTTGTAAAGAAAATGAGTTCAGAAAGGAAGAGGAAATAGAAATGAGGTGTAAAGTTCAAGTAAAGACAATAAAATATAAAGTAATAGTACCATCTTTTCTGTGTTATATCGAGCAGCATAGCCAATACCAGATTTTCTTTGGTGGCCAAGCCAGAAAACTTCGGTGCCTAGAGACAAATTCGGAGTGACACTCTGCGCACAAAGAAGAAAATAAAGGTTTGTTCAGAGTGCATGACAATACTGAGTCAATAATTAGGAATAAGCATATATGCATGCATGTACATAATCCTTTTTTGGTAACTTTGGACCTTTTAAGGACCTAAAAAGGACAGACTAGAGAAAATATCAGTGCATGATAAATATGGATAGTTCCTTTTGAATACCATATGTAGTAATTATGTTACCTGGGTACTTCCACTAGGAAGCCGTAGCCGTACCCATACCAGACACGTACCCGTACTCGTACCCAAACATCTTGGACACTTCTTGAATATATGCATATGTTTATTCGGGCGTATACTCAATTATATAATACATGTTTTGATTTAAAATACTCCTCATACACTTCCTAGATGTACACACTACCTTCACATCCATTTATTATATAAAGATCTTATGCAAATGAAAAAAAACAATATTAATATTTATGTAAATTATTAATTTTAATACATGTACATAACATGCATATATGTAGTCGTGTCCTCATACCCTACATTTTTACAAATTTGCCATGTCCCATACCCCGACCCATGCAACCTATACCCAATTCCAAGGAACAGCATACTTAGCATGAAGAACAACTATTTGCAACTTCCATTATTCAGGCAATAATATAACAGTCTTTTTATTCAATCAAATTTACCACCACATTCAGCAAGGTGAACAGGTGACAAATGGATTTCTTTTTTTTTTAACTTAAAACAGCTCAGAATTACTTCGCATCCGGAACTGAAAACATTTTGACTATCAGTTGCCAAGGTAAATTTGAGTTGTTTTGGGTGTTATGCATTTCAACATTCTTAGCATTTAAATCGTGACAAAAACTCTGCCATAGATACATAAAGGTATAAAGAAGAATAGAATCATCAAGTATTGTGTCATAAGTTTGAGCTTATACTTGGATATAATTGGCACCATAGAAGGCATTGTTCCCTATCTGAAACTGTGTCCTGTAATCATGGCCCTGAGCAAACAGAAAATCATTAAATTAACTTGTCTGTAAAACTTCCAAATAGAAAGTACAACTGAGGGTGCAAACAAAAAATTGTATTTCCACCTCGAAGATTTATGTCATTGAAACATCTGGAAAACCAGAAAACAAATGGCAGTGACTCAGAGAGAAAAAAGTTTGAAGGTTAACAGACAGTTCACACCTTCATCCAATACAGCGCCAAATAATCTGTCCAATGTGCATTCAAAGCCAAACCACTTTACACATGAGGATTTCAGAGATGAGCTGCTTTCACTGCGCTATACATGTTGGTATGAGAAACAACATATTTTGGCAACTATTTAACACATTAAATGGCCCAATCTGTTATAGACTTGAAAGGCTGTTCACTTTTACAACGATAGATTATTTATGCCTAGGCACTACATTGAATTTTTTTGAGGGTCAAAAGAGGAGGATATCCTGTCATCAGAGAGGTGACACTCAAATACTTCAAGTCTTTTTACAACAATAGATTATTTATGCCTTCATGTGAGGGCATATCCTCCAAATTCTAAGAGAGGATATTGTTGGTCAAACTAAGAATACATCTCCTTTCCTCCAAATTTTTAACTCATCTTTCTAGTGGGTTGTTTAATCCTTCCCTAAGATACCCATAATCAATATTTGCCTTAATAGTCAATGAGTTACCCAGAGGAATGGGAAAACCCCAAATTAGTTGAGCATTTGAGTGTAGGACGAAAAGAACATGGTGCACAGTGAAGCCTCTATCGAGATGATTCACAGTATGTATTAGAGTTTCAGTGTAAAAAAATTCTATGAGTAAAGTCGACCCCAAATGAATGATCTCACATAGAGATATACTAGTATTGGAGAAAGGAGTAGATACCACCAAACAGGATTTGACCCATAATAAATACTCAGGCACTAAGAACAAATTAAGTTGATACCACCAAACATATTTTCTTCCACAATGTTTGTTGCCTAATTTAAGGGCACTATGAACTACTTGAGTTGCAGATATTACGAATTAATAGCCAACTCTGTTCCCAGTGTCTACATTCAAGCTTCAAGATGCTAATAATCCAGGTGCTAGAGGCCAAGAGGTCTTCAGACTCTTGGAAGAGGCTCTTGCTTGTAATGAAGAGTTCACTCTCAAGGATTGATAAAACTATGTTTATAAGGATGTTCTACATAGCAAGGGTTACTAAGATCAGTTTCAATTTCCAATAAAATATGCAAGTAAAACAATAAATACATGCATCATGAACTAAATGCATCATGAACTGGACTCAAACTAGAAACTGAATAGAGAACAAAGGCACAAAGATTCAGTTCAATAAATATGCACGAGACTTTCATAAATAAAAATATACGAAACAGCCAGTTAAGACAAAGAAAATAGTGGAAGACAAACTCACCTTATAATCAAAGTTGAACATTCCTTGAGAGTAATGGGGTTCGTTTGTAAGCTAGCAGGATTTTGCAACAAACATCACTTAGAAAACGTCAACATCAACTAAATAGAAATATAAAATGAACAATTACCTTATGATATAGAGGCATTATTAGCTTACAGAGTTAAGATTTACCTGTGCATTGATTTTCATGGTAAGGTTATCAGTTAAATCACATTTGACTCGTGCACTCATCCTTCCATCAGTCATCATCCTCCCTATAAGCATCAGCTGTAGAAATACAGTGAATAAGTTTTTTTTTTACCTAGTTGATACAGGGGAATTGTGAAAAATGTAGAAATCAGGATAAATCAAGCAGAGAATCATGTAGCCGGAAAGAATTTACACAGATTGGCACTAACCTTTGGATCAAGAAAATTCGCTCCGAATTCATAATGTGAAGTAGGAACCTTAACAGTTTCAGAAGATTGAGAGGGGAGTTCCGTCGATCCCATAAAGACACTGATTATGATTATGCAAACAATTTTAAAGTCAAAGCTTACAAAACACTATAATGTTAAAGCCAAACCTAGAATAAATCATAATCATTCAATACACTAACACATGAAGAATTTATAATCAATAATTAAATACTAAATTACCTGTGACTCAGTGAAAACTTCTGGTTCAAACCTTTTGTAAAGTCAAAACGTAATCCTTCAAAAAGCTCGGGTTTCAGAGTGTGAAAACTTCTGGTTCAAACCTTTTGTAAAGTCAAAACGTAATCCTTCAAAAAGCTCGGGTTTCAGAGACACTGCAAGAAACATGGTAAAAACAAAGTAAGTCAAAACGTAATCCTTCAAAAAGCTCGGGTTTCAGAGACACTGCAAGAAACATGGTAAAAACAAAGTAAAATAGCAATCAAAAATGACCTAACTCTCAGATCACTGTAACAAGGTCCTCCAACTATAACAACGTTCTCCACAATCATCACATTTATATGATCCCATTTATGTAGGGGCAATAGCTTCTATACTCATTAGAGACGTATCAAAACAGAAACAGAGCCCCCAACAAGTCAAAGAAACATGCTATGTGGAAAGTATAATACTTATTCCAGTAGTTATGCATGGGTGTGTGCAAGATTGGGTGTAAACGTGGGGGCATGTGGGTGTATGTACGCATATATGTACATGCATACATAAGATATACATGCA